AAATGAGATGGAAATGAAGTAAAGCATGGGGTAGAGGCAAAGGGTACCACAGGAAAAAAGAAAGTTGACTTATTCCAAGGGAACTTTTATCAGTAAAGTTGTATGCAACGGTACAGAAGATCAGCTGTGAATAAATGAGTGTTAGCATCTTGTCTTTGCTGTAAGTGAAAATCTCTGTCCATTAGAAGTTAAACTGTTGAAAGACGCTTCATCATCTGAAAAAGAAAACCTGCAAACAAATGGTTTTGTTATTCTAGAAAAAGAAGTAAAACTCTAAGGGCTTCCAAACTCAGCCCAAGGGACACTAGGAAAAAAATACAGTGCATATTAAAAACCATTAGATGCACACAAAGAAAATCCTGAACAAACATAACATTAATACAGCAGTGTTTCAAACTGATCTTCCAAGTGACTACACACATTGCAATACAGCTACATGTAACTGTACATAGGTTCTTTTACAAAAATATTTGTAATCTGTAATATTGTTTAAAATTTAGATGGCAAAAATCACTTAACCCAAGTGCTGTTACATTAATAAAAGCCATGTAACCTGTTGAAAAAGTGTTTGTATAAAGCCCATTTCCAGTTAGTTAGAAAAATCAGTGCATCCAACCAAGAAAGGAGAGAGCAACACAGGCACCTAAAAGACCCCATGCGATTAACTTTCCCCTTGAGGTTTTCTTTAGTGCAAAAAGGACCACACTTTCCACCAACAAATGCAGAGAAGTAGAAAATGGAGAATTTTGTTTTCTTTTTTTTTTTTTTAAATTAAAAACCCCAACCCTGCCAAAAGCAGCATTATAAAGACCAAAATGATCCTTCCCAACCATATTATACCAGAAGTTGGCATACGCAGGGATCCAATATGAATCTGTTTTTGTACACAAGACCCTGTGCTCATGTGGATAATAAGTCATCTCCATGATTAAAAACCAGGTTACAAAAAAACCTTACAGAAAATCCTTAGGATTTGATACTAATTGAAGGTAAAATACTTTCAAGTATTATGTTTATGAATTAATTAGAGGATAAGGCATTATTTAAGGTAACATTGAAACAAAAGCCCTATGTTACCCTAAATGACCTTTATAATATAGCTAACTTTCTGCAATCCATTCAAGATTTGTTTCCTTTACATTTAATTTCTCATCAAACATGCTGCTAAAAAAATATAAAAAATAAAAGCATAAAAAAAATGCATTTAAAAAGAAAGGTTTTGTGTGTCTCCAAACAAAAATGTGTTTTTGACAGCAAACAGGTGAAGCCAGATTTCTATTTTTGAGTATCATGACTCGAGTATCACAGACACAGTACTACAGGAAGGACAAGCACAACACAATACTATGCCAGAGAACAAATCTAGGGTACCTCTCAAGTAGACAAGACAAAAAAAAACCCAAATCAAAACAAAAAAAAACCCTCAAAAAAAGAAACCCCTCAGTCTCCCACCCACCCTCTCACCCCAGCTACAAGGGCAACACACCCACACACACATACAGACATGCAGTTACTGTGTGCAGTGACAGGAAGTGCCTACAGCAGCTTCCAGGAAAATTGCATAATTTCAAGATAAACAGACACAGGGTACCATATTTAAAAAAAAAGATTAAAAAATTCAGCACCAAGCAAATGTTTTTTTCTTATACCAAGTAGCTAATGCTAAGAAAAACCTTGAAGATACCACCCCCCAAGGTTATTCTGACATAACCTTTAATTCTCATCTATATCCTTCCAGTGGAAACCTAACATGGAAGAATTAAAAGGCTCAGTCTGCTTGGCATTTTAATGGCTAGAAGGACTTTCTTACAGTAATTTGGAAATCCGAAGTGAATCTTCAGATTTGAACTAGGGGAATAAGCTAGGCATCTGAAGATATCATACAGAGTGGGTGCTCGTATTTACCCTTCTATCCCAAAGTCATCCTGGAGATACATGAGGGCTGAGAGCAGTATCCCTGCCTAAATTTATTCTCTGCCACTGCTCAGAGATGAACGTTTGCGTGGCAGCTTCTCTGGCTATGAAGATGCTGCAGACCTGCCCTCCTCCTCCTCCTCCTCCTCCTGCCCAGCACCACCGACCCCGAGCGTTTCCAACACTGCACATCCTTCCATCACACAGCACATGTGCCTCACCAGTTGCCAATATTGAGATGAACGTGCTACACGACCAACCAGAATTACGTGCAAAACCAAAATATCCCAAACTTTTGAGAACAACATTACACGACAGACCTAATTTGTACCTGTACAGCACAATGGAACAAACCTACAAACCCCAGGCCTTGGTCTGACAGTGCACTGCATTTCCCCTCAAAAGTTAAAGGACAGAGTTGTCTTAGGGCTTTTTTTTAATAAAACAGAAGTAGAACATTCTACTAATATACCACAGATCATATGGGTAATCCAATCTTTTAGTCAAGGCAAAATATGATTAGTTATAAAGTGAATTTTCCAGTGCTACAAGATGGAAACAAAATAATTTGGGGAAAAAACCAAACCGGCTTCATATAATCACCTACTGGAGTTGCCTATTAAAATAATTATAAAATTATGCTAATAAAAACTGAACAAATAATACACAGATCAGGATATATGTATTGACTTACTATCATCTTTATAAAAATTTGAAGATATACACAAAAACACATCAACATTTATGGAACTGTATCCATTAAATTTGGATAAGACAACACAAAAAAACTAACAAATAGCTAAGATGTGGTTGACTGTAAGCACTTTGAGTAACATTTTAATTTTAAAAGGTCAATATTTACATACTACATTAAATGCCTTTTTTTCTTTCCATTTTGCATCATATTGTGAGTTCATGATAAAGAAAGAACAAGATAATGGTTGCAACAGATCTTCCAAGAAAGTTAACTTAAGATGCTCAGATTTATCTATGTGCTGGAAGAGAACACGGCAAGAACACTTCTTTCTAGCTTTACCTCTACTTTCTTTGGGGTTTTTTTGGGAGGAGACAACAAATGGATCTAAAAGAGCTGTATCATCCAAACTGATCAATGCCAAGAGATCCAGTTTTAACTTAGGATTTGAGAACTAAGAGAACACAAACATTTTAACAAATGACTCACCTAACTGCTACTTTTGCTACTGAGTTTTTTTAAGATTTTAGAGAGACACAGTGACAGCAGAGGGTGTGAGTATGTATGTATGTGTATAATAGAACAAATACAGACATACATACATATAGTATGTTTACATACAGTAAATATCCAGGTACTGCAGTAAGCAGCTAAATTAAACCCCAGCAATCCACCCATATCCTGCCTATGCACAAGCAGTAATCTACTGCAACTGCTGTTAAAGAGGATGCATCTAGACATTAAACAGGCATTGCTTATGCCACTCCTACATTTAAATAGATCTGAGGCCATTTCATGTCTTTATTCCAAAGCCACACATTTGTCTCAAAAAAAGAATTAAAAAAAATATAAAACCCCACTGAATAAAAATTTTTAAAACTTAAGTTGGCTGAACCTCAACCTCTTTGGGATGGATTCAAAACCCAAAGCAGGAGTGTTTCTCCAAACTTCTTTGACTTTTGAATCAAACCCATATTCTTAGGCTCCAAGAAACCCTCTAACCCCAATAAGATTTGCTTCTGACAGGACAGCTGATCAACTGCAGATGTTCCTACTGCTGAACTCAGCTGCTGGCCTGTCTGACATTTGCATCTAACCCAGATTTCCAGGCACGCACTGCTATCACTCCACTTCGAGATGTCTTCCCATTCTTCTCATTGCAGAGAAGCTGTTCCCTAACAGTGTAACTGTTTAATGACTTGTTTTAAAGAAAAGCACTTACTTCTTAAGAATAAAAATTACATAACCTGGGGAGGCAGTGTAGGGTCCTAGAGCTGATGGTGTGAGGAGTTAAACAGCTTGGGGTTTGCAGGTCTTCGGGGTCGGGTCCCACCGGGCGCTTCCTGCCTGCAGCTCATGCTCTGTCCTGGGCTTGTGTCTACCCTGAAGCACTAATAGCACTTTATGTATAGTAGCTGTGTTGGCTGTTATTAAGCATTATGCATAAATGGGGAAAGACGCAGCTGGGTGTAAACCTCACTTTCATGAAAATTTCCCATCATATTACTGTGTCTCGTTATCAAGTTGTAAATGGACTTAGGGTATTCTCTCAATCGTTTTCCCCAGCACAGTATTTCCAAAGGTATCATGTTATTACAGTGAACAGAGAGCAGGTTTACCTAGAAGACTTTTGACAATACTTATTCAATCATTATTTTTGGTAACTTATACTTAATTGAAAATCTGGACCAAAAGTGTAAGAAAGCCAATCAGGCATTTGTGACTTCGTTACCACTAACTCAAAAAAAAATTTTAAAAAAATTAAAATCTACAGTACTATAAATTTGCTTAGCTCAAACTTTTCCACCTGGCACACCTATTTTGGACCCCATTCATAGCTCTTTCTTTACATACCAACAGTGTTCTTCTGCGGTCACTCAGGTAACAAACCTACAAGGTTTCTGTAAGTGCCCCCCCTTCAAATAGTAGGTGGAATGCTTAAGAGTATTCTTAAAATAAAGCATGAAGCAAAAGCTCATGGTCTAAAAACTAAGGAAATGTTCATAAAAACTGGAATCCAATATAAAGATGACATTTTAATAAGTTTATTCAGAAGTAACTGAAAAAATTGTTCCTTTGGCAACACCATCTAGATGGTTCTAACCAAAAGGAAATATTATGAATTTCACTTTGAGTAAAATAAAAGCTTCTTAATGTTTGCAAAGAATTTTTGGGATCTGACATGTTCATCAGAGATTTACAATGTCCTTATAGTCCTACACGTATTGGGAACAGCACATCAAAACAAGTCCTTTCAGTTATGGGTTTCTTATGGTTCAGCATCAATCACAAAATAAATCTCAAAGAAAAAAACTAATCAAAATAAAGCATAAGGCAACCATGACACACTAGCCCAAAAGAACTATCAGGAATGCACCACTCCTCCTGCGTAACATTTTTGGAGTGACCCACCAAATACTTCTTTTTCCTTGTTATTCGAAACAACCTAATTACAACCTGGAGTTCACTACCCCACGATGCTGCTGAAGGGTGAAGATCCCTGTTTCTAAAAACCAAGGGAAAATACAGCAGTGTAATTCCTACACAGGGTTTTATGGAATAACTGGATTTGGAAAGAGAAGATGGAAGTCTATGTTGGAATAGAAAAATGCAAAGACAGACTTATTCACAAAGATTGAAACTACAATTTTCCAGTGTCACCTCCAAAGCTTCTCAGCAAACTGCTATTCAGTGAAACAGACCACGTTCAAATCTATGCAAGAATACCTTCTGTGCTCTCAGATATACAATGCAACTAAATGTGTTTTGTTTAGAAAAATGAGTTTTCATTCAAATACCTCGCACTGAAGATAAGAGCAACCATTATCAAATATTCTTTGCTATGAAGAAAGTTTTTCAATCTTTCGCTGTAAACGTTCTCTCTCAAGTCACTGTGGTCACACAGTAGGATCTTGAAGAACAGTGTCTACATGCATTGAAAGCATTTTGAAAAAAAAAAATTAATCTCTAACTCCATGTGGTTACAACAGAATGTGATGAAACCAAACAGAAATTCCACCTTTGCAGATCCTCTCAAACCCATCTCTTCTGGAGGACATCTCCGTGCTTTCTGTAGTTCAGCAGAGCAACCAAAGACTAAGTTGAAAGGTTTCACAACCCGATGGTTTTGCCACTGTGTCTCATGTAGCTCCACAGAACGGCTCAGTGAGTGCTGGGGCTTCTCTCAGCAGACATCACTCAACAATCAGTGCCACATTTATGTGGGACAGATCTATCATGTGCCTGTTAAAAGGTTAGAGAAAGTTAAAAACACGGTACTCAAACCGATTCTGGGAGTGGAGAACAGGCAAGGAGGTTTCTCTGAAGGTCACTAATAAATAGATGCTTGATTGGATTAATGAAACATTGAGCAGAGGAGACTGATTTTATCTTTTGAAGGGAGGGAAGGAACTGAGGCGGCAGCAGCGCTTAATTATTTACCTGTGGAATTTCTGTTGAAATGCTAAAGCGTGTGCTGGCTCCTTAAATTTTGCTATGGCTTTCCGTTGTTGAGGAAGCATCTGTAAACTCTGCAGAGACAAAAACCCAAAAAGATAATAAAATAACCACTTATTTTGCACCAAACCAACCGAAATTTTGCCATATTTCTTTGTTTCAGAAACATATTTCAATTCTTTTATTGGTCCCCACAGAATGGAAAGAGACTTCTGAGACTGCAGTCAGGACCCCAGCTGAAAGTCTTTGAGTTGGTGCACTAAGGAACTGTACCAACTGAAAAACCCAGACTATCACTCATTATGCAAAGGTGACAGCTCTTCATTCAATCCATACAGATGAACCAAACCCCAGAGCCAAACTCCCACCAAGTCAGAAATGTTAACTGGTCAGAGCTCAACTTCCCACACAAGCACCTGGAGTCATTTACCTGATGTACCCTAAAGGATCAGGGCTTTCTATGCATTGAACTGGGCAGAAACAGAAAAAAGTGGTAGGTTTTGATCTCTCGACTGCATTATCCTCACACTGTTTTAACAAAATAAGTGGCCAGATTTTGACAGACACCACCACAAAACCCCAATCAAATGGATTAGGTCACCACTTCCAAGTCCTCCTAGTAGAGGGAAATCATGCAACACACATCTACCCAGGCAAGTCCATCTGATATGTGCTTCTCATGCTATGAGAGTAGCATTTCACAATGCTCTGTGACAAAACCCCATATGTAGTACTGAGGTCTCCAAAACTACAGCACACCTCAGCGAGGGCTCGGGAGAACTCATGTCCCTGCTCCCTGCTGCAGCAGGAACTCTGGGCCAAGATGATTCCAGAGAGCAGTCCTGTAGCCTTGGTAATAAGAAGTTATCACACTTACTAAGATTAAAGTTGATGCTTTGAGTTAGCACTTTAGTTAGAGGAATTTTCAAAAAGACACTTCAGAAATTCGAGAAGATGAAGCTTAGCACATTAAAGTAGGTACACACCCAACAACCAATGAGAACATCCAGCAAATATTCAGCATCACAGAATACTCAGGGTGGAAAAACTGTGATCCTCAAATCCCACTGCCTGTGAAAACAGGCCACAGAGATTTCACAGTAACTTGGTTAAAACACATCTGAAGGCTTCAACAGTAATTTCAAAGTTCCATGCCACAGTGATTCCAGTATGTCACAGAACATTTTGGCTGTTTAATGGCCTATGCTGTGGCCCATTAAAGACAATTGTTCTGATTCAGCTTTCAGTTGTTCTTACGGCTTTGGATGCAGAATAAAGAACTACTAACATTCGACTTTTCTGTGTGTGAGCTTCTACATAAAGTTAATACAGTTTTATGCTGAGTTTTATATAAATTTATATATGGACACACACATAAATGCATGTATACAGGCACCTTGAAACTTTTCTATATCATAACCTCTTGATGGTTAGGTATGAACCTAATTCTCTGCTCCTGCATCTCGCCTGGAACTCAGCAGCATCCCCCAATCTGGATGATTCCAGCACTGATGGTCAGTCTCCAGGATTTTGAACTTTACCTGCAAAAATTCTATATCATCATCATCTAGATTGCTAAAAAAGTACCACAGATCTTCAGACAAACAATTATTGATTGGGAAACAACATACAACCCCACTTGTTGACACATTTTAAGGGTGACATACTTTAAGACCTCTCAGTGAAAGAATTTTTAATCCAACTAATGTGTCCCCTGTTCATTCAATCTAATGCAGCATTTTAAGCAAGATGTCAAATGGCTAGATGAAATTTGCTATTAAAATTGCCTATTTCTATCTTTTTTGAACAGGTAAGACTCTTGGTAAGATACTTAATTAACAAGAGCCCTGGTACCTGATAAGTCATATTTCTTTGTATCTAACCCTGACAATTCAGCTTAGGCACTTTCTATAACTTACCTATCTGTGATTCTGAAGTAATTAATTTTGGCGTAGCTACCTTTCACCTTCTTGTAATTGACAGGGAACTTCCCTCTCTGCAGGAAAATCACAGATATTTAATATTTCCATCACTCCTGTGATTTCAAAGTGAAAGCTGAGTAAAAGTTAAAGGATTCAGCAAATCTAAAAAGCATCAGCAGGTTAATTTGCATAGTATAGTTTTTGGAAAGCTGCTATGATGAAAATGTTTAGCTAAGTCACTGCAACTTCTCAGTTTCTGAGCTGGTAGAAATGGGATTTAGCTTTAAAAAATACCACTTGGCAGATAACTTTTTTTTTTTAAAATCAGAAAGCTCTTGACACAGTTAAGCACATTTTAGCAGCAAGAATACAGTCAGGCTGCAGGAAGTACCAGTGAAAGACCCTGGATAAAGCTCATTTCTCTTGGAGATTATCTGCTGGAGTGGGTGACAGAGGTGCTGAAGTTTGTGTTCTCCTCCCTTCCTGATCTCACTTTTTATGGTTTAAAGAACTGTATCTAACACACATCTTCCTGACACCACTTTTCTGGCTAGAAAAGCCTTTAAATAAGATTTAGAAACAACAGACCTGTAAGAGTTGACAAAACAAAAGTATCTCTGAATTGCAGTTAAAAAGAAGTTGACACTTTTAGTATGAGAAAAACCTGTTTGAATCACTGAAAGGATGAATATTTTAGTGAACAGCTGGACAAGAAGAGCTGCAAAAGAACCCATGGACTTATCTTGCCAGCTGCACCCTGCATGTTCTGCTGTCACCTGCTTCTCTCCCCTCTCCAGAACCACCTCCAGCCCTCCTGCTGCCAACTAATCCTCACCATAGCATCAGGTCTCACTCAACTACCACAGCAGATTTTCCCAACGCTTTTATGCTCCACAGCCCTGTTGTGATCATCTGAAGAAAGCAAAGCTGTGTTTGGTGACTCTTCCCACAAGAACAGAGCTATTATTGCATTAATATTCTTGAGATGCACAAAAGCAAAATTTGATTTTGCACTTTATACAGTCACGATAATAAATTATTGAAAAGCTTCTCAGTAATTAGCATATAAAAATTTGAGTAGAGGAAGACATTCTGGTACAGTACAGACTCATTAACAAAATTAGGTAAAGTATCTAAATATTATTATAGATAACTTATTTATACTTTCTTATGAATTAATAAGTTTATTGACTGACTAGTTTGGGTACTATGTTCTTACACTGTATTACTGCCTCATTTTCCAAAGAAAAAAAAAAAAAAAAAAAAAAAAAAAAAAAAGAAAGGCAAAAGGCAAAACACTAAATGCATTTTAATATTCCAGTGCTTTGGCAACAAGGCATCAATTCTTGGATAAGTCTCTGAAAAGCATCTTTATCAGATTTAGTTTCACTGGTAAATACAGACAACTATGGAAACCAAAAAATAACCTATCCGATGCTTCACTGAACTGCCTAAACAACACCCACAATATATTCAGCCCAGGGTAAGGCAGTAACTTCTAGCATCAGCATCTTCTCAGCTGCTGTAGTTACACATGCCTATACTTAAGACCAGAGTTAAGGACTGCAAAACAAAGGATAAACTAAGAGTACACAAACACTATTTCTGCATTTGGAAACTGTCTGAAAAATTTTAATTTAAGTTGTTTTAATACAAATTCTCAGCCTTCACTGCACTCAAACTATGGTAGCAAAAATGATGCAGAATCACTTTGTTTGGGTATATGATCTGAATTGGGTATTATTCTGAGACCTAAAGATTTTGAAAGGCCAATCAGGGGAGGCAGGGAACAACCAGCCAGGCAGCCTCTGGATACCAGCGGGTTCTACCCATCATCACTTGACCTCTCCTTTAATGGGAAGACACTCACTTTTCCTCCACAGGAGACTTCCCTCTTGCCACACTGTGCTCCACTAGAATCTCCTTCTATCATGAATTCCTAAACTGAAATATCACACTCCTCCCAAACGTCACAGTTCTGAGAAAACAACTTCATTCACATCTTCTCTTTAAGTTGACCTACTCAGATGTTCACCAGAGGATGAAAACCCCTTCCTGGATCCACTCAACTGTAAAGGATTGACAATACATACAATAACTTCCAAGGGATTTCAAATGACTGGTTACTTTATAGATTTGGATGTACAGATCTACAGTGCAAGCACTTCCTGATAGCAACCTGAGATCAGAGGTATTCTGGGCAGGTTTCCATTTGACTCTGGAGAACAGAGATTAGATTCTGACATATTACCAGCATTAAAAATAAAAAAACCAGTTTGGGATGAAGAAGAGTATCTTATATGGAAGGGATTTAGGCAGCACAGAGCTCATGCCAATCTTGACTGTCTCCTTTTTTTGCTTCCTTAGAAACTGCCATGGGAAGATGCAGATCTTGGGTTGAATGGAAAATGCAGCAAAACCCAGTATTTCATAATCACTCATACCTTTGATTGAGAGTTTGCCTGTAAACTGTTTTAAAACATACTAATTAATTCGACAACTTAAAAAATAATCAGCAGCTCTGGCTTTTTCTGCAACTGAACTACTACCAGTGACTAAAGTATGAATATCATAAAAGGACCATTCCCTCTGCAGAGATTTCTTTAGGCCTGCAGATCTACGCTGCACTGAAATTTCTCCTTTACACACACTATGTAATTAAATCCACACTTGTAAAATATTGAAATAGCTGGTATGATTTTGGCAGCACATTAATCTCTAACAAAGCTTCACTGCAAAACCCAGAGTCTTAAAACAAACAGCGGGACAGCCATAAGTACCAAAGTGAGAGAATGCTTGCAAAAAGCAAACATCTTGGACACCAAAACTCTGAGAGGTTACACACAGAGGAAGAAGTCAAAAGGGAGATAACAGAGCACTGGGAGATGGAAACCAAGCAGGCAGGACTGAGACTGGAACAAGCACTCAATTCAATTATAGGAGACACATGGGGAACGAAAGTTTCCTTCTTTGCTTAATTTCTTTCACTGAAGTAAATGGACTGCCCCACAGACTACACATTCAGTCCATCGGCGAGTTTGGCATTAGGAGTGCAGTCCATGTGAAGCTGCTAAATAACATCTATGCAAAAGAAGTGTAAACTTTCCTAACCAACATCATCTCCAGTGTGTGATCCTCCTAAACAGAACGATCAGATTCTATTTATTCTTCCCTCTCATCAATAGATGCAGACACATTTTTATTATCCTCGCAGTCTCCTGGCACCTGAAGCATCTTTCCTGGTAGTGACACTTCCCAGCCACTACCAGAGGCTGAGACAGAATGTGTCCATTTCATCCTCAGCTGACACAACTGATCTCTCCCACCTTCTGTCCCTCCTTCCTGCTTTTTGGCAACTTTTGACTTCCTACTATCTGTCCTTAAAAGTGCTCAGCTTTCCATCTCTGTATGCAAGAGGAGATGAGGAGAAAGACATCTCTAGCTCCCATACTGCCCTACAGCAAGGCTGAACTGGACAGGCTCTTGTTAGAACTGCTCTCCTGTTTCCCCAGCCCCAAGGCTGGAGCAGGACTGCCCACGTCTTCTCCCACAGCTTCTGCAACAGCTGAAAATGTTTTCTCAGGCAGAAAGACCACACTGGTCACGACGTCAGCCTGTGCATCTTGTGTGCTGTGCCTCATGGAGAACCCCCCTGCTGATCTGCAGGAGCCCTCGTGTTCTGGGTCTGTGCATCCACATGTGCTTGCCATTTCCACTGATACCTCTTTAAACTGAAAACAAATCCAGCAATTTGGAATGCAGTGTCAGTGCAGAGAGCTGCCTTTACCCCAGCTGAGCACTAGGTAGCACTGTCACCCTAAGAAAGCAGAGCAAAGCGCATCAGCATTGCACTTGTTTTTCCTTTCTGAGATCACAAATGGCTAAGTAACCAGAGGAAACCCCATGTTTGTAAACTACTACAAGTACAGCAACAATTCCAACATTCTCATCACCTCTGATATACAATGTTTTGTATACAGTTTTTTCCTCTTTTTTTTTCAGCATCAGAATTTATTACCTTAAGTCTTCACAAAGCAATACTGAGATTCTGCACTGATGTTTTATGTTTGCAACCATTTGATGTATGAAAACATGACTAAAGATGATGATGAAACACCTGCACAGAACCATACTTCAGTAGTCAAATTATCTGGAGACCTAGCAAATGGTCCAGTCTACCTGCCACATCTTGAAAAAAGCCAATTCATCTGAAGGCAGTAATAACTAGTTGAACACGAGCTTCTTTAGACAGTATAAACGTTTCAAGAGTACAAAAAAAAATAAAAATACAAGCGCTGTTTTTCATGACCTTTGCAACTTATTAGTAATCTGCTTTATCAAATGGTTCTGGATGGATATGTACTGAATGTCACTGCTCCAGTACAGCCCTCAGGAGACTCCATTTTGGTGATGTGCTCAGAAATCTTCTGTACTTTCCACCACTTTGGAATAGATAACTTTATTTATAACATGTAATTATTTTAGATTCAGTACTCAAGTTTTACTGCAGATACATTATTTGTTTCTGAAAGCTTACCCTCTCAAAAAAAGAGTCTGACAGCAAACTGTACACTGAAAGGAGGCACTTGTTCTGCTAATTTCATCATCTTGGAGTTGTAAAATGGAGCTATGATGAAAGACATGTTCCTGAAACCCCAAAGATTTTCTTCTATTCAGTGTCTTGAGAATATTAATGGTATTTTTTTCTCCTATATTAATATCAAAGCAGCTTTAGTGAAGCAGGGATAAGAATTAGAGTCTTCAGTGATTAGGCAGTAGAGGGTATTTCAAAGGTTATATATGGGAAAAGATAATTTTCTTCATTTCTAGAGTATGGAAGAGAAAAATGGTGAATTTCCAACTTCAAGTCTAAGTCTCCTCCATCTTCTCTTATGCTACACCCAAACCCTGACTCACAGAACCACCACGTCAATGCAAGTTGATGGCAAAGTTCGGAGCACTGAACATTATAAATCAAGGGAAGTTTTTAGCTTCCCTTCCCAAGGTTTGTATGTGGTACTTGTACCTTGAAAATGATACTGACATGAAAAAGCTAAAAATAAAAACGCAGTACTTTTGTAGCCAGAAAAGGAAAGTAATCTCTTCCTCCTCGTTCACTTCATTGATAAATTATAGACTTATTTGTGGAAAAAGTTAAAACTTTCTGTTATGCCAGTAAGGATTCACTTACCAAGAAAACACATGCAGGATAAACACACTGTAACAAATATCTGGATATGTGTAAACAGGAGCTGGTGTGGGATCACTTACTCTAGAGATGCCCCAGCATGGAAGGTGAAGATTAAGCAGAGGTCCTCTACCAGGTGGGACAAGAGCTCATGATCTATTCTTCTTGTCAAAGAGCAGAGAGATCCTTGGGAAGTACTTCTTCCCCTTCTCTGGGAGCTATGCCTCAGTGCAGGCATTCCCATGGTCATGTCTTGACTGCAGCAGAAACTGATACATGGGATATTTGGATTTCTGAGTTGTGTTTGGACATCGCTTTCAAGCAAGACACTTGTTTAAACATTAGAAGTGTATGACCTACAGTTTGTGAATCTTTACCTTTAACCAGGGATTTGGGTGTTGGACAGTTGACATGTGTCATTTCAAGATACGATGCAGGCATGAAAACAACTCCTTAAGTTCTGATTCAGATTTAAATTTCCTTTACAACTGCAAAAAATAAGCGCATTTCCCTCAAAGACAAGTAAAATGAAAAATCCTCTCAAGAGCTCAGTTGATCAAGTAAAATTTTGCTGAATATAGTCAACAGCTAAACATAAGATATTCTACACCTTAAAGACTGAGTCAGATACAACCGACTCACCATTCCCTCCTCTTACTGTTTCTTCAGCTCCATCAGAACACCAGCTAAAAACCTGGGCACCTTGCCTAATTTCTAAAAAAGCAGCTAGAATTTCACCTTGCTGTTTTCGCACAATAGCCATCTCCCCAAATCCTATTTCAGTTCATCAAGCTGCAACACTTCACCTCAGAAGATCAGAGCTCTGCACTACCCAAGATCTCTTTTCTCTGGTTGTGGCCACGACCTGCCCTTCCATTCACTACGGGGCTCTCTCCAGCAGCTCACTCCTGCACTCCTCGTTGCAAAGTCACTTACATGAAACACATTTTGAAGGAAGAATGAGGAAATAACCAAGCAGAGTATCCCTTCGCTGTCAGAGCCTCCCGACCATTGCCAGTTGCAGGGGATTTCATACAGCACTGAGCACAAACACTGAGAACATTAACTTACAGCCACAAGAAAGTCCACTCATGCACTTCAGGATGTTGACCTCTTTGAAAATCTAGCACCATCTGTGTAAAAATGGTTGCTGTGAACAGCAACAATGCAGGTTTTCAATCATTCTGTTTTCTGTTCTTGTCCTCCAAGTCACTGAAAGCTGCTGCTGCCTCTTCCTCATTCGCTGCATTAACACTTTTGTGGTGCCACTTCTCATTGTATCGTAAAAAAACAAAGCTAAAGCTAAATATGGTATATGGTAGAACCAGTCTCATGTTCTTCCCTACAAAAGGATCACTTCTCTCCTGCATATCTCACCATCCACACTTGTGAAACATCATTCAGTCTCGAACATGACAGGAAATTTCTAGCCTTCTTCACATCACACTTGAAATTCGACTGCAGATTTAGCATAAAATCATTCTGCATCATTAGCTAAATTCAAGCTTCTCTTTCAAGTACTACTTCCAGATCTCTGATAAGGTGAAAACAGATGATAATTTAGAAAGCATAATTTCCAAAGGTACAGTTGATGATGGTGCAAGAATGAAAGTTCTGTAGGGCACGGGTATGTATCAAATCCCACTAGAAAATCAGTTATGGTTTGTTCTCCTATAAATACACCTTTCTAAAGTGGTCTGTAACATTGAATTGAGAGACCAGAGTTTGGAGTATGCTACGAAAAAGCAAGTCCCGAATAAATTTTTTAGGATGTTCTCAATAACTTCTCTCTACTGCGAGTATTTCCTTGCAGGGATTCTATTAATCTCCTTCTAATATTCTCATGCAAGATTCAGCGAGTAAACACTGAATAAATGTGCTTTGGAACTGTATGACTAATTTCCTAGAGTACTACAGAACACGAAGGCACAAAGTATTTTGTGAGAGTAGTTTTGCTTTCCCAAACAAATTAAACCTCTCTGAATTGACGATGTAAATAATTCAGCATTATTCTGTTTACTAAATTGGGAAGAAGTGAGGCAGAGCATTCATCTTTAGGAGAGCAGTGTGTTTTGAAACAGAGAGATGATCCCCCTAATAGTGAAGTCTCACAGAACAGGCTCCAATTCATGCATTGTATTTGTCTGAAAAATGTTGATCCTGTCAAAAGGAGCACTCAAAACTGGGAAATAAAATTCTCATCGTTGTGTTTCATTATTCATTGACTGATATTTTCAAATGTAGTAACAATAAATCAGACAGGGCCTCCTAAGCCCTTCACTACTTTGAAAACCACCTGCTTTCCATAAGTCATTTAACTGACACATCAGTTCCAGGAGGCAGTTTACGAACAGAAGCTGCACAGCAGATACACCAGTGTGTGTGTGTCATAACCTTGCTCACAGGCCCCTACTAAAGAGAAACTTCTAAAATAATGAAGGATCAATAAAATGCTCCAAAGAAGACTGTGTTTTCATCTGAAAAAGCATATGGTGCTACACAGTATAAAATGTCCACTGGGTAGTGGTCATTAAGTGCTTCTACCCCAGGACTGCGATGACAGGAAAAGGTAAATGTCAAAACAGAGAGTAGGTGCAAGCCAACAATAAAAACACAAATAGCAACCAAAAATACATTTCCTTTGATATGATCATCTGGCTTTAAAAACCTCACAGCATGGGCAGGTTTGTATTGTTTAAGAAAATGTCAGATAGCACAGGAACTCCACAATGAAGGAGAATTTTGCAGCAGGAATGTGATGGTTAGCAAAATCCTCCCGTGCCTCCCGTGCCGCAATATCATCACGTGCCTGTCTTTGCTACCAGGTGTAGCGTGTGTGGGTGGGGGTGCCTTCAAACATAAATTACCAATAAACACGCATTGTATTTAGTGTCAGGGAATTAATTGAGCTTTCCGGAATGAAAGCCTTTTGGCACAAAAATGATAAACCGAGGTTGACCTACCTGAATGGGTCCCACTGACATCAGCAGGTTTTTCAGTTGGACATCAGTAGTTGATGAAGAAAGCCCTTCAACTGACACAATACAGGGCTGAGGTTTGCACTCCACCACTCGCAGGTTCTGTTTATTTGGCATCAAGCGTCCTCGGCCCATCTGGCCTGCTACTCCTCTGCCTCTGCCGTGCATAATGACCTGCCAACAACAAAAGTAACAGTATTTTGATTTACTTACCTAGTGATTCTGCTTACTGCATTTGACAGATGATACAAAAGTTGGCGATTTACTTAAAGACTTGATTAAAGTACACACTGATTTTAAACAGTTTGTTGCTGTTCGCTGATTTGAAAGGCCACTTATTAACATATTCATCCACTGCTTATACAAACCTCTTTTAGAAGGGCAGCAAATATATGGAGTTATATATATTGCATTCAGGCTAAAAGCCTCAGACCTAGCTCAGACTGATCAACTAAGCAGTGGAAGATCTCGGACAAAAGCATATAACCTAGTTTTCAGCACTGATCACATCAGCAGCATGTGTTCAGCTCCCATATTTTGAGTCTGGACAACAAAAACAAGTTGATCCCTCTCCTTTTTCTCTTCTCAACCCACAGGTAAATTTAATGTACTCACAAGACCAGCAAACTGCTTCAAGCACCTCCAGTCTGTACTGCTACTAACTCTTGGTCTGTTCTAAGAATGGAGAAATGGCTAAATAAAACAACTTTTTCCAAAGCTTCCCTCCCCCCAATCCTGTAGGATCTGGCACCACAGCATACTCTGGAGTAGGAAATGTATGGATTTAATTCTTGCAAATTAAATATTGAACAGTTGGAGAGAGGAAAAATAACAATGAAACAAGAGTAACAAACATTACACAGAGTTAACATTTAACACTGGGTCAACACAACACAGTTTCCCACTTGGAAAGCCTATGAAGGGTAACAACTTTTCACATTCTCCTGCATCAGCAAGGAAACTTTATCCTTACAGGAAGCAGGAAGATTATGGCCAACAGTTCAAAACCAAGAACTAAAGGCCCAAAATACCAGCTATGTTCAAGGCATGTGCCAGCTTGCAAATGCAGAGAAGGCACATGCTGCTGCTGCCCTGACCCTTCCCTGCCTCCTCCCAGTGCACAATCAGTGCAAAACATCAAGTTACGAGATCACCAAGTATTTTGAGTGACACCAACTTCAGGGATTCAGCAAAGAGCATCCTGAAATAGTCGCTGTGTGCTCCCTACATATGCAGGAAACAGCCAGAATAAAAGCTTAAACATGACTTCAAAAAAACCTCTTGGTTTTAAAGCCTGAAAGTATGTTGCATACCACCTCCTACTGTAGCTATCTCAGGACACATGTATTTCCCCAGGGAGTGCTGTGCTGGCCAGAACGTCAGCAGATGAAGAAACCTGCAGGCATCGCCAGTCTGTGCTGGGTACAAACAAGTCTCTCCAGATTAAAAGCTTTATATGCAATTATGCATCTCCTGGGTCATGCAGCCCTGCACCACCAATTGACAAACAGAATGCTAGTTATTAATAGAGCAACACAGCTACACAGTGAAACTTCCACAGCAATATGCATCTAAAAATCACCTTTTTAGGTTGATGGATTCCCTGGATGTTTTTGACTCCTTGAGGAGCTGGTGAATGGATCTGTGCCTGCTGCTGCTGTTGGTGCTGCTGCATTCCCTTTGTCAAAGTGACCTTCCGCACTGGCTGCTGTTTGGGCTCCGGGGGTTGTTGAGGCCGCTGGGTCTGGCCCTCTGGGTGAAAAAAGCCAGCATCCTCTCCCCCCTGCTGAAATCAACAACACAACAGCGGCTCAGTGTCCAGGCACTGCACACCCTCACCCTGAGCAGCCTCCTGCCACATCCAGCTCACTCAGAGAGTATCCGGGGCTTTGCCTGCTAAAGCAAACCGGTGGCCATGGCAGGCACGTGTAAGGGCTCAGCCTGGAAATTGCACTTCAGCCTAAAATAAATCCATGGTATCTGAAGAACAGTTTACTTTGTTTGGACTTTATTATAACGTTCAATAATGTCTTTTCGTATACAAAGTGGCAAGATGTTTTCACTTTTCTTTCCAAATCATTCTTCCTCCCAGGGAGGAACTATGGTGTGTGTTATTTATTACTTTTTTCTTTTTTAAATAGAGACATACATATTGCAGAAGAAGGAGCAAAGAACTGTGAATGCTGGAAGAATCGGGCAAATACTCTGCTCATCTTTAAAACTCCAACCTCTCTTCAGTTAAAAACTGGTATTTATTTTGAAGTCCATACTCATTCTACCAACTTCTATACCAGCAGCTTTGTAAGCAGTCTCCTTCCTCAAACACTGTACTAGGAACAGTTCCTGAAGGGTTGTTTTGGTTTTTTTTTAATTTGTCTCATAAACTTCTTATTATATTTATAATCACAAGCACAGTGAAACACCATCTCAGTGCTTCTCTCATCCAGTGTAGCTCTTTGTTAAATCTCTCAGTGCAATCAAGCACATTAACAGCAAAAGCTGAAAGCGCTGAAATTATTCCCTTCCACTGCCTCTACCCAAACAGTTCAGTTTCTTCTACAAGCAGGTGATTCTTTGTGTCTGGCTGCCCAGATCAGATCAATCACTGAAAAACAATTAATGGAGCAAGAGACAGCAGAGCCTGACAAAACATCAGGTACTTTTGCATCTGTAAAGTGCATCATACTATTGCATGGGTTCAACAGCAGTATCTATCCTTGACTGGACTCCAACTTTAGAACTCAAATACTAGTGAACATTTTATCTACAGGGTGAAGGCTTTGCCTAAGTCCCAAACCAACTCCTGGTAACCCTGTAAAAGCTCTCAAATAAAAGGCATATCTAGTGAAAAAAAGTAAAATATTATGAAAGCATCTTTACTTACACAGGGTTTTTTCCCCCTTCCTTAACTATTCACAAGCCAAATCTACTTTGCATCTGTAACACACATCACAAACCAGAGGACTTCATACTGGCACATTTCTTGTGGATAAGGAGACAAAATACGGGGGTGCAGAAGGAACAGATTTATAGCCTAATAAAAAGATTATCTTCATTGACAATACAAATCTTTACCTCTCAGTACTAAATAAAAGCAAAAGAAACACTTACTAAAAGGCACTAGTTACTAAGTCCCTTCACTATCATTTCGTAAGAAATAATCTGGTACAAGTGGTACATACCACGGTCTCATGTTTTCAAGTTCACTACTTCACAATTCACACCCCTAAATCAAGGTCTCTGTATTAAAAAGTACATGAAGGCTACAACACCTCAAGAATTCAACTACATAAATCCCAGACAAATGAGCCTCACAGCTCCTTGCACCATCTACACTTCAAAAGCACAGTCCGCCATAGGGAAAATCCTGAACCTTGTCCTGGCTTTTGTCCATAGTGTCCAAAGTGAGAAAGCCATAGAAATCTGCACATCTTTCCCACCTCGAATGAAATACAGGGTGTTTTTCTCTGCTGAACTGGATAGCTCCACGTCTTCACAGAACATTTTGTATACAAACCTTGGACAGCAGTGACTAGTGAGAAATTATAAAGCTTTCCCTTCTGAGTTTCTCTTCAATTACTATTCAAAAACATAAAAGCAAGAGCCCTCTTGAAAAATCCAAACATATACACAAAACCTTACCAGGAAACCAGCATTAAATCCTCCTCATTTTAGTATTAGTTTCAATATCAGCATCACCATAAGCTCTATGCCCTGATCAGATAATTTCTTTTATTCAACTCTACAGCAGCTGCAAGATGATGAAACTAAAAGGAATAAAAAATTCTAGGAGGAATTTAAACACTATAGCTGGGAGTTAAAAATCTAATCTCTGCTAAATGCCTGCTGTGAAAACCATAAATATTTGCAACCATTTCTTTCCAAACCAAAAAGTGATCCCAGCACATTGGGAGAGCATCTGAGAGCAAAGCCCTCAGGTACAAAACACACTGAACATGCTCATTACTGAAACTTCAAAAGCAAACAATCATTTCACATAAAAGTCTAGGACAGCCAACAACCACCCAATATTTAACTACCAAGCTCAATTATCACCAAATAAAACTAAAACACAGAACTGTGTAACAGAGTCAAAGGTATCAGCACACAACTGGTTCGCACTGATAAAAAATCTGATGGGGTTTGTTCCCTGCTGGGGTCCCAAATGCCACCTCTGGGTTTCACTGTTGACATGATGCTCCTGCAAAAGCCTGAAAAGGTAGAAAGATCTCCGAGCTTTTTAATGAATTAATGTATTTCAGAAATAAGAAAAACTTACACAAAACAATAAAGAAAGAAATTGGAACGAGATCTGCTTGTTCCTGCAACAAGAAGGAAGGAAAGGCAACTGGATCAACCCCTTTCTTTATACTACTGCTCTGAATATTTAGTGGTTTTGAGATGACTTGAGGATGGGAAACAGAGATGAAACTGCAGCACTGCTTTTCAAGAGGGCCACTTGGTGCTCAAGGACTAATAGAGCTCCCTCCAAATCAGCAAGATATTATTTTCTGTTGCAGGCAGCCTGGCCTCAACAGAAGACAAAACCTGGTGGTTTTCTTAAGAAAATAAAAATCAAATGTGACTGCCAGGTGACACGTGCCTAATTAGCAAAATGACACAGCCTTGGAAGATGTATTTTAGCAGCAATTCCTTTTTCACTGGTTAAAGATGTGACAGTACAAGGACAAGCACTGAGCCAAAATGAGCAACCTCTGCAATACCATGTAGTGGCAAATCAGACTCACCACCACCATCATCCTTTAACCTTTGACACAAGACAACCAGTGGCTTCTTCAGACACATCAATGACAAACCAAGTCAAGCAAAACACCTGCAAAGAGCTTTTAACATCTGGACTTAAAGCTACAAAACCTCAGAGCATTACTGACAGGTCACATGCTCACGGAACACTAACATTTTAGAGGAAAGGACATACAATTGTAATGATGACTCTACATATGCTGACTCCTGATGTTCACTCATGAGCTACACAGTGAGCTGGCACCAACACAGCAAAGCTACAGGCAAGCAGGTAAGTCCACTGCAGCTGTATTGCAGCACCTGCCCCAAACAACACCTAAATCACAGAAGCTAAATTGCTAGCAACTCTTCTGCTTAAAATGTCTCAGTTCTAGCTCGTCTGAAATCAACTTTTGCTTTTCCTAAAGACAATTTCTGTATTGTTAATTTTTCATCAGCTTAAATGTGCCCTCCCCACATTTAAATATACAGCAACAGAAGGAGGTATTAAAATTTTAAGCCTTTTCATGTCAAAATATATTTTTATCTGATTTCTTTCCATTAGTATTTTGTGATGTACAGGGCAGCACTAAATTTTTCAGAGATGCATCTATTCATCATCATGGCCTGTCTCATATAATTTGATGCACAAAGTGCTGAAACCAGGTAGAATACCATAGTCCATCACAGATACCTGGGACTGATGGATACAAGCTCTGATTTTATAGTTTAAATTTCCTCTGAAGTCTTCTGCATAAAAGTGAATTTCCATTCTTCGTCTACAAACCAATAAAGGAAGAATTTTTTTTTTTATTGTCTACTCCTTACTTTCTATATTATAAATCATTCTGACCTTCAAGCTCTAAATTTCCAAGTTTTACAAAAGGTCTGCCTTCACAGAATATGCCAAGTTGGAAGGGACCCACAGGGATCATCTACTATACAGCCAGGAAAGAGTTTTCCTGAATGAAACTTTACCATTATTTAGTTAATTCTGGAGGAATGAAAATGCCTTTTTTTCAAGTTGCAGGAGTTCTGTTCATGGGAAAGTATAAAACGTATTCAGCAAGATTGTTAGCAGTGCCAAAACAAGTTAATTTCAAATACTGTGTGTAAATAAAAAAATCTCAAAAGATGGAGGCAGATGGATTTGATCTACATGTCAATGTTTTTCAAACTTCTACTGTGTAAAAGTTTGCACAGTTTGACCTTCTGAAATTGGACTAAAAAAGAAAAAATGATGCCATTCAATGACCAAGAATTTTAGAATTGATTCCCTGAGGCTGTTTTTCAACAGTCTCTCACTATACATATCTATCTACAGTCAATGTTGTGTTTTGAGAAACATAGAGTTCTGTCAAATATGAGATCACAAATTCTATAAACAGAATTTTATGAGGGACTGCTTAAATTTAGCAGGCTGAAGCCCTCCACTCTATCACAATCATTATGACAGTTTTATGATGAAGATGAAGTTTATTTGCCACCAACATTAGCAGGACAAATTTATTTATAACAAATGCTTTAAAATGTACTGATAAAAATGCCTATTGATACTGTCAGAGTTGCTTGCAATTTGACAGATCAAATCTTATTTTCATTCTTAAACCCCATGAAGGAATGGTATCACCAACTTGCATTCTGTAGTGAGCAAATTGATTAATCCTCCTCTATAGAAATCTCAACTCTTGATTACACCTATCAGACGTTAAGCAGCATTATTCTAGAGTGACAACACTTGACAAATTCCCAAACCATTTTTCTCAGCCTTTGTGGCCCTGCTAGCTTGTATTAACCCTGATGAAAAATTAATTTTCCTTATCTTCTGCTAAACCCCAAAATCCAAATCCGCCAAACTGGCAACTCTTTCTGTAAAGGTATTATGAAAACCTCTAAAAGATTAATTGCATGTCTTCAGGTGACATTAAATTAATTTCTGTACTCGTGACAGACATTTGATACTCCGTACTGAGAGGACAGATAACATTGTCAGGATACACAGAAGGACAGTGGTGCAGTGTCCCAGGGCAGCCTCTTATGAAT